ACAATGAGGCCTAGGGGTTCAGGTATAATTCTTTGAAATTTGCAGGGTAGACAGGGTGGTTAAGAAGACATTTAGCACACATTCCTTTATTGCTCAGATCTTTGAGTATAGAAGCTGGGATGTCATGTTAAGGTTGTGCAGGATGTTGATGAGGCCTCTTTTGGAATACGCTGCACAGTTCTCATCATCCTATTATAGGAAGGATATTATTAAACTGGAGAGGATTCAGAAAAGATTTCAGGATGTTGCCTGGAATGGAGGGTTTGGGTTATAAAAATAGGCTGGAAGGCTGGGACTTTCTTCACTGGAGTGCAGGAGGTTGAGGGGTGACCTTATAGAGGTTTATAAAATCGTGAGGGCCATAGATAAGGGGACTAGCAAAGTTATTTTCCTTCAAGGTGGGGGAAGTCAAAACTAGGGTGTATAGTTTTAAGGTGAGAGGAGAAAGATTTAAAAAGGACATGTGGAACAACTTTTTTACACTTTTTTTAGTTAGTCTGTGGAATGGGGAAGTGGTGAATGCAGGTACAGTTATGATGTTCAAAAAACATTTGGATAAATACATGAATAAGAATGGATATGGACCAAACACAGATAGGTGGGAACATGGTTGACATAGACTAGTTAGACTGAGGGGTTTGTTTCCATACCGTATGACTCTATGTATTATCTGACAGGTATCGCATGTCTCCATTTAATTTTGATGTGCAGAAGCACTTAGGTAATGAGGCAAGGTCAAAGCATTGAAAATGGTCTTGTATGAAGGTGGAAAAGGAAACTTTTAGGTACTCTGAAGCTTGTAATATTGATTATAATCAATGCAGCTTCACTTCCTATATCCTGAAATATCATATTAGTCTAAGTAATATCACTTGAGGTTTAGTAATGTAGAAATATGACAAATTAGATATAACAATTTAAATTGTATTACATACCAACACAAATAGATGGTTATGCTGTATACCTTGCCCTGCACTCAACCCTGGAACATGTGGACAACAAAGACACCTATGTCAGACTCCTGCTCGTTGACTACAGCTCCACCTTCAACACCATTATCCCCTCCAGACTGATCTCAAAACTGTATGACCTTGGTCTTGGCTCCACTCTCTGCAATTGGATCCTCAGCTTTCTGACCTATAGGCCGCAATCAGTGAGGATAGGTAACTGCACCTCCTCCACAATTACACTCAACCCTGGAGCCCTCACCCCTCCAAGGATGCGTCCTCAGTCCCCTGCTGTACTCTCTGTACACCTACGACTGTGTTGCCAAATTCCGAACGAACGCCATCTACAAATTCACTGATGACACCACTGTAGTGGGACGGATATTTAACAACAAAGAGTCAAAATACAGAAGGGAAATAGAGGACTTGGTGATGTGGTGCAATGAAAATAATCTGTCTTTCAATGTCAGCAAAATTAAAGAACTGATCATCAACTTCAGAAAGAAAGGAGGAGAAATTACATCAACAGAGCTAAGGTTGAGAGAGTGAAGAGCATCAAGTTCCTCAGAATGACGATAACTGATGACCTGTTCTGGACTCCCCACATGAATGCAACAGTCAAGAAGGTACAACAACGCCTCTTCTTCCTCAGGCGGCTCAGGAACTTTGACATGTTCATAAGATCCCTCACCAACTTCTACAGATACACCATTGAAAGCATACTGTCTAGGTACATAACGGCCTGGTATATCAACTGTTCTGTCCAGGACTGTAAGAAACTACAGAAGGTGGTGTGCACAGCCCAGACTATCACAGAAGCCAACCTTCCACCCATGGACTCTATTTACACAGCTCAATGCCACGGTAAGGCAGCCAACATCATCAAAGAGCCATCTCACCCTGGTAATGACTTCCTTCAACCTCTGCCATCAGGCAGAAGATACAGAAGCCTGAACACCGGCACGAGCAGGTTCAGGAACAGTTTCTTTCCAGCCATCACCAGACTGTTGAATGGACTCTAGCCTCAAAAAATGTAACCTGCTTCCCCTAAGTCTTTTTGATCTGTACGTCTTTTGCTTGCTGTGCTCTGTACTGCTCGTAAACAAAGCTTTTCACTACATTTCAGTACATGTGACAATAAAATCAATCAGTGTGCTTTCTTGTAATCTATAAACTTCATGTAAGGACTGGTTTATAACTGATGTTCACTTGAGTATTGCTGAAAAAATACATGCTGTCAAAGCTTTTTGTCTTGTGCACTTGAGGACAGAATTGCAAAAATACAAAACTTCGAAGTAGCACAACAATTTACTGTTCCTGAAAAGAGGGTGCTGATTAGTTGGCAAGTGGATTCTGACTTGTTAAAGTGTTACCATGACAAATGCACAGGGAACAGTTAATCACCAAGGTTTTTTGTTTTAAATTCAAACTAGCAAATCAATTCTGCTTGCTCAAGGCATTGTTATGGGGACTGCATATGTTGAATGACTGAATGGTTGTCTTGGGCTTTTATTCAGTTCAAAAAGGGTAAAATGCTGGGCCATATTCCTACAGAACGTATTCTGTATATAAATATATGTAACTTCCAGCAAGCCACATTGTGAGCATGAATGATAATTGTTTAGTCGATGCTGTCCAGTCATAGAATTACATCCAGTGTTGAGCACTATTCTGTGTTTTGTAATCATGAGCTGATTGAATGAATGCTGTCAAGACCTCTGCCTATTTGAACAGCTAATGGGATGCAGTGTTTGTTAAAATCCACCAGTTGTTGGGATGTCCAATCTACATACTTGGGATCACACAGACACTGAAGTTCATACTGCATTAATCATTTGTGTGGTAGACAGAATGCCTTTCTGGCTTGATGACAGCATCTTATTAGTTTTGCTGCTATGTAACAGGACCCTGAAACAATGACTTCACCTGTTGCTTAGATTTTGAACCATGTTACCCTTCTAGCACAATCTGAGATGATTAAGGTTCATGTTTGGCTTACTTCACAAATCTGACACTTTTTCCACTTGCTTAAAATAAAGTACAATGCAAGTAAAGAAAAGAGACCTGTGCTGAATATTGGCTGTCAATTATTGCAACTAAAGTAAACTAGAGCGTATCAACAACACTTTTGCGCTTTAGTTTCTTGAATGCAAGCATATATTTTCTAATGGGGGTTTATATTCTATGGCTTACCATTGACCAGAAACTCAACTGGACTTGCCATATAAATACATTGGCTACAAGAGCAGGTCAGAGGCTAGGAATACTACAGCAAATATCTCATCTCCTGATAGTCCCAGAGCCTGTCCAACATCTGCAAGGCACAAGTCAGGAGTGTGATGGAATACTCTCCACTTGCCTGGATGAGTGCAGTTCTAATAACACTCAAGTTTGACACCATTCCAGAACAAAGCAGCCTGCTTGATTTGCGCTATATCCACAAGCATCCACTCCCTCCAACACTGCTACTCAGCAGCCCCAGTGTGACTATCTATAAAATGCGCTTCAAAAATTTGCTGAAGATCCTTGAACATTTCCTTCCAAATGTATGACCACTTCCATCTAGAAAGCCAAGGGCAGCAGATACGTGGGAACACTACCACTTGCAAGTTCCATTCCAAGCCACTCATCATTCTGGCATGGAAGTAAATCACAATTCCTTCGCTGTTGCTGAGTCAAAATCCTGGAATTCCTTCGCTCACGGCATTTTGGGTCAACTTACAACATATGGACTGCAATGATTCAAGAAGGCTGTTCACCACCACCTTCTCAAGGGCAGCTAGGAACAGGCAATAACTACTAGCCCAGCCAGCAATGCACATATATCCTGTGAATTAAAAAAAAGATTTGTGAAAAATGTTCATTTAATTAAATGGACTTTGTTAGCAGAATTAATTTATCCCAAACCACATTTTACCACCTCCTATATATTTCAGAAATTTCTCTTGGGCTTGCTTGATCACTAAGAGTCAGAAAGGACGCTTGAACTGAATTGCAGTTTCCTTTTTACCTGGCTTAGGAAATGGACAGAAGATATGAAATGGTGCATAGAAAATGAAATTAGCCTGAAGTCACAGGCATGAATATTTTCTATCCTGATTACAAGACAAATCTCATAATGTCATCAACAGGATGTGTACAATAAATAATACCTTTTTTAAAAAGTCAAGATGATCTCCAAAACTAATATTGCTGGATGTCTGACAAACTTTTTCAGATAACTTTCATACTAATGTTTACTTTTCTGTCTCTATGAAGTTGCATTTGATGTTGCAATTTTAGACAATTGAAAAACTTAAGTCTGCTTTATATTTTTATTGCAAAAATATACTTTATTCATTAAAAAAATCTTTATTTCCCTTCACAGGTGCTAAAGCAGTTCTGTACAGTCTTTGCACATCAAGAAAAACAATTTTGGATTTTGACATTCCCTACAGTTGCAAAAGCCAAAGGCATTTCTTACTCAAGCAGGGCACTATTTACATACATAGAGGCAATGAGAG